GGTACTGGGCGGAGTTCTTGGAATCCGGCCTCAGGGAACTGATCCTCAATCCAGGTGCTACGGTGCTGTGATTGTACTACGGTGATCTGGTAAACAGGCTATGTGTGAATGATGACACAGGAAAAGAAGGGAGCAACTTTTCCAATATTCTCGAGCTTACAGATCCCTTTCCAATGAAAACGAATTCAGATCAATGGATTGAAGTGGAGATAAGCTTTACAATGTTAGTATCCATTGTGGATAACCTTATTCGTCTTCACCATAGTCAGCGCAAGCATGTATAACTAACAACGACATATGGCAAAGGATTCTTTTCAAACATAATTATACAATGTATTATAAATATAAAGAATGGATTAATATCATATATTCAAACAATTATAATGGATAACAACTTTCCTATGGCTACCTAAACATCCTTAAAATGGGATGAGGTCTAGATAAGGAACATCTCGAAATGGCCAGTGCGTGTCCCAGTTTAGAGACGCATGTTTAACATAGAGAAACTATAAAGTGTAAATGAATTAACTAAATTTATTCTAATCAGAATGATCATACATTAAGGTTTAGCAAAACTATGGACATGGTAATACAATGCATTCTATTAAAAGAAATGGAATACAAACGCCCATTAAACTCTCTAGGTGTTAGGAAAGCCGGCGACAAAGTGCACGGATAAGTTAACTGTAATATCTTATGTGGCGATCTCAAAAGAAAGGTTCTAACATTTAACATCATATTATATAAAGTGGATTTGCTATAATCGGTCATTGACTAAATCATTATCATGTGCCATCTGGGTCCAATGAACTCAATAACCGAATGCGTAATAAAATTTCAACTGCTCGCCGGTGGCAAAAATTGTTTGTGTGTGTGTAGGCGGCGGTGTTTCTACTGCTTAGTAAAATCCACTTGTCAAATATAATTGAGTTGAGCGAGCGATCTCCATGAAATCAAAACAATCAATTGTAAATAATTCCTCCTGAACTTAAAGAAAACAAACCAAAAAAAAAATGCGGTGGGGTGTGGGTTGGTCTAAGAGGGTGGGTTGAGTACGTTGAATTTTTAAGGACAACATGATTTCGTCACAGCTGTCAATGTTATTTATATGCTGAATCACTAGGACACTTGTTCCACCATTACTTCCTTTCTTCTCAGACTGCCAGGCCAGGTAAGTGCTCCATCCAAGGGTGAAAAAGTTCACAAACAGAACTCTGAAATAAAAAAAAAATTACTGAAACTCACACTTTATCAAAACATAACTTTTCACTTGAATTAACTGTTTAACAACTTAAAGTAGACATTATTATTATGTACCGTTATAAGTGTGGAGAATTTAATCTCTTATTTGACTCTATTGCTCTTGTCAAACTGTACATAACAAAGGTCGATGCGGTTAAATAAATACAGTAATTCAGAAACGATGCACAAACTAAGGCCAATTTTAAATAATAACTTATTAAGTTAATTTAAAATTTACAAAATCAAATCGAATAAAACTAAGGCTATTCAAATACATATATAATCTGATACCGGTACAATGTTGGAAGGTGCACACACATAAACAGTCAATATAATGTACAACATCTACAATCAGTATAGTATGTCAGTGTCAGTCTATTAGTCCAGCTCCCTCGCCTCGTAGCGTAATCGTAAACTCTCTTTGTCTCGCAGTCTCTCTCTAGCTCATCTGTCGATCGGCTTATTTATAGTCTTTCGTAGAGACTTTTCCAGAGAAGGGATTACGCAATGTTTTCTGTATTTCGGGGTGTCTCGTAAGTTCTAGGGAATTCTAATTCTGAAGACTGTAGACTGTGTTTACATGTTGTCAAGGTCAAGGGAGATAATTTATAATCAGCCGTACCCTGTCGCTTTGCAAAACTTGGGGTCAGCCAAAGTTCGCGCATTCAAGACGCCTACATAACATTATGTTTAAGTCAATAAATCTGCGTTAAACCCAACAAAACTATTGAACATTGCTGCTAAACTAACTAAATCTTTATTGCAAGGTCTTTCTAAACTTGTGCATGAGAAGTTGTGGAATTTACTGTGTGGAAAAAAAGTCTGAGATCAAAATAAGACACCACAAGTTTGGCTTTTGTTGATCACAAGTGCGTCACTCTAGGACTTGTGAATTTTCTAAACTTGTCTGTAAACCAAACAACAGACTTTGTGACCTCATGCATCAGTTTTCTTTGATCAGCAATGGTGAATAACTCATGTGAAGATCCAGGATTGAAGACACACACTGACCTCTAAATTAACACTTGACCACCACTACACTACCTTTACAGTAACACTACATTACTATTGCACTACAGCTAAAATGACAAAACCACTCTATACCACTAAAATATCCCTACCACAACACTGGTAGAGCTGGTGTTTATTACACTCACCATTAGACAACACCTACTACCGCTACACCACCCTTTAACCTAACACTGAATGCGTACATCTTCACCCCTATTAAAGCCTGCTATAGAAATTTGACCCCCGACCTTCACATTCATACTTGAGCTGCTTCAAACATTGCCAGTTGACTTACCTGTGTTGTAGAGGCATAAAGTAAAAGTTGATCATCTGTGCCAGGGGCCAGACCTGAAGAGATTCAAAGATCATTTTATTATAATCTGCCTTTGCTATCAATATATGCAGACCATGATAAACTAAGTAATGAATTCAATCAGTAAATCAAAAGACCTGTGGGTCCATTCATTAGCCATTTATATTTGAATTAAATTTTTTACTACACCCCCACTTTTTTACACCCAATGAAACTCAGAGAGAGGCAAAGAATTATCAAAATTTCACACCCCTTGAATTTATCGTAGACGGGTTCAGAAGTTAAAAAAAATAAAAAAATTCATGTTATATTTCCATGTAACTGTTTTCATAAATGGTAGCTTTATTTTTATTATTATATTACAATGAATCCACCCATCCCTGTGACGCTACAGCCCATGAAGGGCTTCGGCCTGCCTCACCACTTCCTTCCACTCAGACCTAACTAATACTTTTATTTTCGATGCTTGGATTCCCAGCTTCGGTAGATCTTTGTACATACTCCATATTTTAAGCCTAGGTCTGCCTTTCAGCCGTTTTTTTCTGGGTCTTTGATGGTTCACCCTCTTGACTCCCCTGCCAATTGGCATTCTATCTTTGGTGGTTCACCCTCTTGACTACCCTGCCAATTGGCATTCTATCTTTGGTGGTTCACCCTCTTGACTCCCCTGCCAATTGGCATTCTATCTTTGGTGGTTCACCCTCTTGACTCCCCTGCCAATTGGCATTCTATCGTTGGTGGTTCACCCTCTTCACTCCCCTGCCAATTGGCATTCTATCTTTGGTGGTTCACCCTCTTCACTCCCCTGCCAATTGGCATTCTATCTTTGGTGGTTCACCCTCTTCACTCCCCTGCCAATTGGCATTCTATCTTTGGTGGTTCTGGGAGAAGTGAGGGGACGGTTAACGCATTCTATCTTTGATGGTTCACCCTCTTCACTCCCCTGCCAATTGGCATTCTATCTTTGATGGTTCACCCTCTTCACTCCCCTGCCAATTGGCATTCTATCTTTGATGGTTCACCCTCTTCACTCCCCTGCCAATTGGCATTCTATCCTAGTGTCCCGCACAGCTAGCCTGCCCTTTTTTTATTTATTATGCTGCTGTCATGGGATTCTAATTGAGACTGTTCAATTCCTGTTTGGTTCGTATTCTCCATCTCTATTCATCCTTTGTTGGCCCATATATTTTCCGGAGAACTTTCCTCTCCCATGTGTTTAATAGGTTTGCTGCTGTTTTTGTTAGGGTCAAAGTTTCACTTGCGTATGCTACAATTGGTCTGATTACAGTTTTATAAATAGTTTTCTTTGTTTCTCTTGTATTTGCACTTATGAGTATTTCCTGACTACTGAAGTATTATCTTGAATGCACACATTGGCTACGTACTCGACATAACATTTATTAAATTCACCTAGATCACGTGATTAAGTTGTATCCCGCAAGCTATTCTTAAATTTCATACAACTTACCTTGTAACTATTTATAAGTACTGTCACAAAGTCCAGCAATGAAATAAATATTAAAAATTTATATTTTTTCAATAAAAGAATAATTAATTTAAACTAACTCTAGAGCCTGTCAACTTAACGGTAACTCCATAATATATGTCCATTTCAAAGACTGCAATCATAAATATGTGTCCAATGTCGGCCATTTATGGTTGCACTATTTGAAAATGTACTGTGCAAAGAGCCTTATACATTCAATTGATACATTAAAAATAAATTAATCGGAATTAACACCAAACAAAATGATTTTACTTTATTAAATACTTCATGTAAAGTCTGGCATGTTATATTATTTGAAAACCATCTTTTACCTTATTAATAGCTAAGTAACATAATATGAGTCAAAGAATACGTTAACACCAACAAGATGAAATATGATGAGTGGAACCTACTCGTTTATATTTGGTCTTGATCTCCTCAAAGCTTTCCAGGTGCAACAGCCCCATGCCAGTAATAAATGTAGCAATAAGGATGGGTGACACAATTATCTGAAATGAAACAACACACACACACACAGACACACACAGACACATACAGACACACACAAACACCACATCAGTTTCAGGACACATGTCATTTACGAAATTATTTAATAGTTAAGCTGTGATGTGCGACACTCCCGGACACATTACACAAACCACATACCCACACTCAATCTCTAACCACTTAAATAAAAAATACTGCACGACACACCTTATTTCTAAAAAATGTTAAAATTAATCCAACCATGAATAAAAAACAACGCAAGTTATGTTTTTGTTAAAAATCATTCATGTATGCCACAAAACATTTGAATAAAGTACGATCGTGGTGATAAAAGTGCTTCAATATTGGAATAACAATTAATGCACAATAAAAATATTACTCACGAGGGCACAGAGAAAGGTTTCAACACGGAAATGGTGCATTTGAGAATTTCTTAAACAATTAGCTTACCTGGTCAACTGCCATCATTTTAAGGGCAGCCAACTTCTTCCCGGCATAAAGCCGATCTAACACCAGGTACAAGCCTCTCATTGCTGGCCCCTAGTGGAGTGGTCGCAAAGTAAATATATATTTCGGTACATTATCAAAAATATGATTGATGGATCCTAGCTAGCGCAATAAAAACATATCAATGCGGGGGCCCCAGTGGAATGGTAGCAAAATAGATATAACTCGGTAGCTCATCAAGATATTGTTGATGAGGCCTAGCTAGTGAAATAAAAACATATCATTGCTAGCCCCTAGTGGAGTGGTAGCAGCAAAGTAATAACTGGGCAGCTCATCAAAGATATGATTGATGCGGCCTAGTGGAATGGTACCAAAATAGATATGATTGATGGGGCCTATCGTACAGTGCAATAAAACATATGACTGCTGGCGCCAGTGGAATGGTACCAAAATAGTAATAACTGGGCAGCTTTTCAAAGACAAGATTAGTGGGTGCTAGCTAGTGTAATAAAAACATATTGTTGAGCCCTAACAATTATACTGATATAAACAAAAATATTATCGCAGGGCCCCAACTAGTGAAACAAGCAAACATATCCTTGCTGGGCCCCAACTAGTGAAACAAGCAAACATATCCTTGCTGGGCCCTAACTAAGGAAACAAATACAAATATTTCTGGGCTTTACGGGTGAAATAAAATTTAAAAAAAACCACAACCCCCCCCACCCCACATAAAAATCAAATAAGTTTATAAACATAGAAGGAATTTAGTGAAAAATTAAAAAGAAAAACTAAACTTATGGTCCTCCATGATTTAGGAAATCCTCAGTAACTTACAAACACACAAAAGCCAAAGACACAAAATCTGCCAATCCGAATTCCCTCATATTCCTTGAGTGACTTTCTCTCTATCACAGTTTGACTGATACAGTCGCCAGTTGCCATAAGAAGTACCTGGTAATGAAAATTTAGATCTATGATATTCTTAAGATTAATAAAAACATAATTAATACATGTCTTATCACATTTTTCTGTATTTACTATATTTATTGCATATTACTTTCATCATTATTTCTCAGAGGATTGATTGAAACAAAACCCTGAAGAGCCTATAAATAAGCCTAACAATAAGATAAATATAGACATACAATTGATGTCCAAACTGTTCCTTTGGAAATTTAAGGAAACCAATCTGGTTAAAACGGACATATTTATCCAATCAGACAATTGTTAAGGACATTTATACAATGTACCAGTTATACTGGACAAGCATCCAGTGTATCTGTTGTACAGGAACTTTATACAAGCTACCTGTACTACTCTATTGGACATTTATGTAATTTACCTGTTGTGACACTCATTGTCCTAAGCGGAAACTTTTCTAGCAATCGAACATAACCTTTCCAAATTGCTGTAGCCATGGAATTGTCTGAAGATGCTAAAGTTATAACACTACCTGAAGAGAAATAAATGAATTAGTGAGTAAAATACTTTAAAAAAAAATCATCTGTTAAAAAGAAGGAACATATCCTATGAATGAACAATGGATCTTCTTTATGAAACCCCTAAGTTTTTAAAACTAACTGTCAATACATTGTAGTAGTACCCGTATATTTATATTAAACTATAAAAAATCTACAGGAATAAATTCCAAATTGAACTTTAGGAAGAGAGTTCCATGACTGGGATTAAGTTTTGCAATACATACCTAATGTAAAGGGTATGAATTTGTTGCTTTTATTGGTGAATTATTATGACTCAAATCAAATGACAATATGAAAAGAAGTGTGCATACTAAATTTTTGGCATAACTCAATAACGTTTAAACTATAAATTAGTTTCCTTTTGCCTATATCATTGATTTACAGCAACTTGGGTAATTATAAGAGTGTCATTCTGACACTAGGGATAGGTCTAAATTTATTTTAACTTTTCATCCCCTTAACATTAAAGCTCGTTTTCTTGTTCTGAAAAGAGCTCAATTCTTATGGCAGACCCTGTCACGTGAGATTTCAGAAAACCTCCTCTTTTCACTTTCCGGAGGGACAAGAGCCTTAGTGACATGCTAGTTAGAAGCCACTTCCCTGCTATTAAAGCACATAAGGGCACCAGCACTTGCAACCATAGCCGATGTAACACATGTCCTTACGTGATTTAAGTAAATAAGATCGATTTCTTTCTGGAAATATTCAGAAGAAAAGATGGCCTTACATGCTCAAGTCGCAGCGTGATTTGCACCATCCTTTGTAAAAAATGCGGCAAATTATACATAGATGAGACAAGTCGTCGCCTTGGAAACAGGTTTAGATATGATATGATCTATATGAATAATAAATTAATAACGAGCTTTGGTATGTTGACTCCATTCGGAATAAACAAAATCCACAATTTTACGTAGCTGCCATGTCTTCTTCATGTTTTGTTTTTCCATTCTTCTTTACTCTGTTTCTGTCTGGTTTTTGCGTGTTTTAAGATAGGGTATATATATAAAAATATATATATTAATATATATTAATTATATTTATTGTATACGTATGTAAATGTTTTGTTGTTATTCTGATGAAGGCATGTGCCGAAACGTTTGATTGTGTATTATGTAAAATTATTATTAAAGCTTAACATAATATATTGTTATATTGACACAAACTGTTGGTGTCTAATTAATCAACTTGAATAAGCGCGTGGCATTCAACCAGATGTGGGTTTGGGGGGGGGGGGAGGGAGTTAGAAAAACTGGTCGTTATTTTTCTAATGTAAATTTTAATGCATTACTCTTTTTTTCTTAGGCATGGACTATAGATGATAAATTTATTTTATTTTGGTAAGCAAACCAAAGTNTATTTACTTAAGAATATAAACAATATAACTTTAAACTAAATTTAAACTAAATGTATATATATTTAAAGTTATAAGCATGCCTTTTTAGAAAATTAGTCCAATGAGTGCAATGTGTCTGTAACGCCAACCAGCATATTACGTAACTTTTTAAACTCATATGTAGAGTATCCTTGTACTGTTGTAATAACCACATCTGGAGAGGATCATTGAGTACGATATGTAGATTTCGATGATCACTTGGAAGAGTTCGGGCCAACCCTTCTGGGTCGATCAATAAATTAATGTCGATAATCACCTAATTATTTACTTTTAAATTGAATCTTAATTTATTAGCCTTGTTGTTGAATGCTTTAATTAGTTAATTTGTTTTAATTGGCGGGTCGGGGGAAAATTTAATAGGAGCGAACTTGCAATCTAATCGTTTTTATCGAGTGGTTCTCAAAATTTTCGTCATGTTAAATAAATCAATTGTAGTTTCTATTTTTAAAAATTGTTTCTTAAAGGGCCCATTCTGGCTAAATGAGGGGGTCCTCAATGAGGGTAGGGAGGGGGGGAGGGTCATTTTGGGTGTATTTTTTCTTCTTTTGGAAATAATTGACGTGTCGTATGTTCATTTTATTTTGAGTGGTTCTCAAAATTTTTGTCTTGTTGTGTATTTTCTAATTAATGGTCTTCTATTTTTGAAGGTCCATTCTGGCTCCTAAAATGTGGTCGTATAGGGGCTATTTTTTAAATCTGTAAAAAGTGGTTCTCAATCTTGGGGTAGGATTCAGATGTATTAAAAAGGGGGTTTTCTTCTTTGGGACTACTTGTTTTGTTTTAGGATAATTTGGCTTTTACTTAAGTTTATGGAGTTGTCCTCAAGCTTGGGCTAGGGGTCAGTAGTCATGAGTAGTGTTTTTAATCTTCTTCTTGTCTGTTTTGAGGACCAATTTGGTTCCTAATTAGCGATGTTGTAGTGTATATTTTGAATTTGTGGTCTTGTAGAATGAAAATTTTATTGATTTTGAGTCGTTTTCAACGCCCGTCTCATCTTTCACATCACTACTCTCTTCATCTCTCTCTCTGTAACGTTTGCTCTCTCAACTAGGACTCTGTCCAAATGTCCAACTGTCGGGTGATCTGAATTTTTTGAAGGTTCATTCTGGATCCTAATGAGTGGTCTTGTAGGAGTATTTTTTAATTCTATAATTATAAGTGTTTGGGGTAGGGGTCAGAAGTCATAAGGGGTTTTCTTCATTGGAAATACTTGTTTTGCATTAGATTAATATTAATTTTTATTTAAGCTTATTGAGTGGTTCTCAAGCTTGAATTAAGTGTCAGTAGTCACGAGGAGTGTTTTTAATATTCTTTTGACAATTTTAAGGACCAATTTGGATCCTAAATAGTGATCTTTTTGTATATATTTTACATTATTGGTCTTTTAGAATGATAATTTTATAATTTTGGAGTGGTTTCAGACTAGGGCTGGATTTCATTACTCATGAGAGGTGTGTTTAAAAAACCCCATTAATCTTGTAGTGGGATAATTTAAGAATAATTTTTAATAAGTGGTCTTTTTGTACAATCTCTTAAAATTTATTTTAAGCTGTTCTCAATCTTGTATTTGGCGTCACTTTTGATTTCATAAGTGATTAAAATTTTTTTAAAAAGATTATTATTATTTTAAAAAAATTTCGGACTAATTTAAATTCAAAAACAACATAAAGGACATCAAGAAACAATAGGGACCATATAGGTTTAATAGTTTTATTAGAACGGATCCTCAAAGATCCGGTCATCATCAAACCCATCATCGGGGACGGTTTGGGGGGGGGGAGGGGTGGGGTGGGGGAATGTCGTCCTGTGTTTCTCGTGGGCTGATTCTAAAGCATACTTTTTATGATGAAAAAAAAAAGGGGGGGGGGGCTTTTTTTTTGACTTTTTACGTTAGGAGAACCATTGGAGTTGCCATAAAACAAACAAAAGAAAGAGTGCAGATGAATTGATCTTTTCCCCCCAGGCCATACCCCAATTGCAGAGCTATTGAAGTTATGTCTAGTAGATTAATTTGGTAGGTGAAACATCTGTTACAAAATAGGCTAATGACATAGGAGTTCTGAACACACGGTTTGGGATGACTGCGCACAAAGGGGTGTCTTTTTTTACATTTTAGTTAATTGGCTTTTAGGGTGATAAGTTCATTTAAGTTTATTGAGCGGTTCTCAGCCTTGGGTTGAAGTCACTATTCTTCTTCTTCTTCTATATCTTAAGGGCCCACGATCAATTTATTGATCATTTTGGCTCCTATGCATGTAGATGACATTTGCAATGTTTCTGTTACTGGTGTTGATGAGGAATCATGCACTAGGGGTTTGAAGGCTTGAGGCAATAGACACAAATGTGTCTAGTGTTGTCGCCTCAACCGTTCCTTTTGAAAGATTGTTCCAGTTCCTGATTGTCTTGGGCAGGAATGAGCAGCTCCTATACTGGCTTCTTGCTGGTAGGAGCCTGAATTGCCTGTCATGGCCTCGTCGCTGTCTATGGGGGAGAGGGACGAGTTTCTGTTTAATACTGGAACAGTGGACCAGCCCATTATTTATCTTGTGCATCATAGAGAGCCTGGATTGTCGTCGTCGTTTCTCCAATGGTGACCAGCCTAGTGTTTCTAGCACTCATAAGGGATGTTTTTATTAATTAATAATTATCATCTGGTGTCATATAAAAATATTTGTATGTACATAGTATGAACGGATATGGTTTTTCAATAATTGAATATAGGGTCACGTCCTGGGTTCCTTGGGATGTGATCCTAAAAGTTGCTTGTGAGGTTGAAGGGGTCTTTTTCTAGGATGTTTAGGAGAACCATTGAAGTTCACATGAACTAAATCTAACGAGGACAGATCTATTGCTTTTTTTTCTAGGCCATGCTACAATTGCATTTCATCAAGAGAACTTTGCTGCAGTAAATCATAAATGGGCCATGTGAAAAATGTCACAAACCACTTGTTAGAAAATACGCTAATGACTTAGGATTTCTCACCATGGGGATTGGGATGACTAGGCACAAGTGGGTGTTTTTTATTTATTGCTTTTAATATTAAGCTCTAAACATGTGTACACAGCAACATATAAAACACAACAGGTGTCATCTAGGTTAAACAGTTTTAATTATATTGTATAACAGTTCCGTGGCAAGGATAGTTCTTACGTGTTTAGTATTAAAGTGTTAGTAAAAACGAGAAACCCTATGTGCTTTGAAACTGTCGACTCAGCTGAGTTTTCTCAAAGTGACCTTTTCAAAGTTTATTCTGTCCAACCACCATCTCATCTGTCAACTTCCTCAATCACTCTCTCTCTCTCCATCTCTCACACAATGTTTGGTCTCTCAACTGGGAATCTGTCCCAATTTCTAACATAATCCACCAAGACAGCTAATTCATATAAAATATATGTAACAAGACTACATATTAACATCCTTCATTGAAAACCACTCTATAAAAAAACGATCCAAATACAAGACCAATCTTATTAAATTATCATACAAGCCGCAAAGTAAAAGAAAAAATAACATTCATATTAAAAAATGTCAAATAACAATGGG